GGGGGGGGAATTGGGACAGCACCTCCATGCTCTCTAGTGTATTAAAACACGCAGAGAGAATAATACTATAAAAAAAAAAAAATTAAAAAATCCTTTAAAGTCTCTGAACTTACAGAGGCAATTGCAGGATTACCTCTGAGCACAGCCTGAAGTTGACAGCAGACTGAGGCAAAACAACAGCTACTTACTGGCATGGCAAGTATCGAAGAGAAAGGCAAGTTTTGACACTAGGCCAGAGTCTTAACTCCAATAGGAAGTGCAAAAGGAGCTGTAATTCCCACATAGCACATGGGAATTCATTCTTCAACATCTCATAAAAAAAACCCCTACAAACAGTACATCCAAAAAATGTGAACGTAACTGCTGCTCTGCACCAGCAGAAAACCCAAATAGCTCCGTGTCCTGTCCCTGGCGATGAACAGGGAGTGCCCCTTCCTGGGGTTTGCTCCCCGGGGAAGCCAAATGTGCCAGGCTGAACACATTGTGGAAGGGATTTGAAGTCTATTTTTTTCTGGAATTTGAGGGCCAGATTCAGGTCCCCACTTTCATTAGTCACTGTGTTCATCTTTTCTGGAGCGGGTGGAATAAAGCTATCACACATGCCAGTTACCTTACCTCAGAAAAGTGTATTTGCATCTGAAAAGGACAGCTGCAACCCACACACATTGAGCCCCAACAGATTTCAGAGCACCGAGGGCTCTAGCTCTCTTCCTTTTTCCCAGAAAGACCCCTGTGCACTCTTTTCCCTTTCTCTTTTAAAAAATTAAGTGCCCATGAGGAGTACTCAGAAAAGACAGCTTCAGCCCAGCCACCCTGTAAATTCCCCCTGCAGACAGCGGGGGGAAATAGGCTCCTTCTGCAGGTAATGGGGGTACCCAAATAAAATCCTTATTCAGAAACAGCCTCAAAAGACTGTCCCAGTGCTCAGGGCACCCCTGGAAATCAACGTAGCCAGGCTGGTGTTGGCCTGAGTGTCTCCTTTCCCTGCCTCATCTTCACACTCCCTATCCATGAGGAAATAAGATGGTTCGGTGTTATGTCATCCAGAAATTCTTCTCTTCACTAATGAAGACTTATTAAAAGATAATTTCTGCACCAAGTTGAAGTTCCTGGGATGGTGTATTAAACAGGATCTGTCTTGCCATGTTGCTTCTAAATGGGAAGTCTCATTCCATGCTGCCAATAACTTTCTGTCCATAAAAAAAAGAAGTGAGTTTATAAAATCCTGCAATTTAATTTTGTTTATTATTTGTTAATTTAGATGTATGTTAATGACAGTCATGACAATGTAGAAGAGTAAAACTTTTTCCAAGTCAAGTTATAGTTTGTCTGGTTGGTGGAGAACACATGGCATTTCACTGCCCCCATTTTATCCTCATATTTTGCACTCTTTCTGAAAGATAATCACAGTATTTACCTTTAAAGCAGTCTGCAGAAGGGGAACTCACAGACCAGCTCTGCTCTTCCCATGAACAGAGACTGCTTTGTTTAAAAAACTTACATGCCATTAAATTGAGTAATTCTGTGGGCTGAATTCTGTGCCCAGGCTCAATGGGAACAGCTGATGGATGGAAGCCACAAAGGCGTTGTTTGCAGTTTTCCTATCAGTTTTCTATCAGGTCTTCTCTTAATTACAACAAATTGTTTCTCGTATTTTCCATTGTGGCAGTCCTCCTTGTCAGTGTTTCCTTGGCTCTGGGAAGTGAGTAGCCTGGATAAGGCATTATCTTAGGCAATATCTGGAGCACAGCTGGCAAAGATCCCTCAATACAGCTTTATACCCCATTTCAGCTTTTCTGAGGCTGTGGCTTTGAACACCTCGGTGCCTTGGGGAGCTCCAAAGGTGCTCGGATGGGCAGGGGTGCAGGCCACTGTGTGTAGTGAACACTTGAATGAAGGCTGCATAGGTGTAATGAACTTGTATGACTACAGCTGAATTTCTGCTCCTTATTTCCTCTTTATAAAGGGAGGGTTTGTCTTGCTGCAGACCTGCAAAGGCACAGGGTTGTGCAGAGCTCCCATTCCAGAGTGGTAAATCACTGGCAGAACACTGAGACTGTGCTCCCCCTTTGCCCTGCACCACAGCTGGATCCAGGTGTGGGGGGTGTTCAACGATTACACAGGTAGAGATTTTGAAGTACCAGCTTCAGGGAGAATCCCACTGAGATACCATTTGACAAGGTTTCCCTATGTTCTTTTTCTGTCCAGAAGAGCTGCTTGCATAGAATTTGAAAATGTTAAGACTTCGGATTTTTTAACACTTGTCTGAGCATTACCAGAACCATTGCCCTTATGTGCAGAAATATAGGCATTTCTCTAGTATATGCATAATTAGTCTGACACTTTCCAGAGCCTCATAAATGGCTGCGCATGCTCAGAAGGTCCCTAAAAGTGCTGGATTTCCCTAGAGTATACAGAGATCAATCATGCATGCTGGGTCTGATACTCCCTATTTTTATTACTCAATTAAACAGCTCAGTTCAAGGTTCAGTATATTGAACAGCA